TAAAATATTCGAGGGCGTAGAATTGGAGAGGGTCCATGTGGGATATAATCATATAATAAGTTGGTCAAGCTTTTGATTTGGTGATTTATTAACCTTATGTTTGTCTGATCTCTTTACCAAAGTGGTCATGCAAAGGAAAAGGAATGTTCAGTGCAACTTCGAGGGAGCTTAGGTGTTTATCTGTAAGAGAAATTCAGTTTCTTTAAAACATCTTTGTCTGTGTGGGTTTTTGTTAATAAGATGAGAGTGACGTTGATGGTGGAAGTCGGTGGAAAATATAAAACGTAAAGATCATATCTTGATTTCCCCGCGTAATCAACACGGATCATATTAAGTTAAATAATAATTTTAGTATGTATTATATCAATTCTTTTATTGGTTAAATGTTTGAATATTTTTATAAGATATTTTAAGTTCAAATCATAGATATAATAATTTTCTTTTATTTTATAGTTACAGCTTATATAAGTTAAATACAAACTTCAAATTAATAGCAATGACATGCCTAACTTAGATGGTTGGGCTTGTTTTACCCCAAGTTGGTAGAGCGCAAGACTCTTAATCTTGTGGTCGTGGGATCGAGTCCCACGGTAGGCAATTCATAATTCTGACTGCCGGAGGTCTTCCACGGAAGCTGCTCTCAACCTGACGTTGGGGGCAGCCTACTATCATACCTCCCCCTCACCCCATTACATACGGGAATAGGGTCAGCTAATTCCCTTTGTTATATTTCTAATATGGCGGTGACACGTTATTAATAAAATAATATAATTAATATCTAAAAATAATAATTTAAAAAATGTCACGTTAACTCTACCGTTAAGTTTTTAACGACGGGGTATTAAAATGAAACAATTATCATTATTGTTCTGTAAGTTAAACATTTAGATTGACTGATCTTTCAGAGGTTCTTCATGTTGATCTTTCAAAATAATTAATTAAGATTTTAAACTAGATTAAGTAAGAGGTTATATTATTTTATAAACACCTTAACTTAGTTAATAGATGAAAATCATTTCTAACCCACAATGACAAATGACACCAAACATATTTTTATTATAATTTTCCCACACTTTCTCGGGAATATATATGAACCTGAACAGCGTCTGGGGAAAATAGGGCTATGTTTTAGCCAATGTCAAAGTTAAATTATAAAAAAAAAATTGGGCCAAAACAATGCAGTTGATCAGTTGAGGGAAATGAATTAAAAAAATCTATCTTCATTCCTCGGGAATGCTTTGAAGCTCAGGACACCAACAATGGCGGCTCTCCTTTACAATCGCATTGGACCTCAAAAGATGCTTGCTTCGCAACAGATTCAACCGTTCTTCAACAGATGATGAAGATGACTGGTAACAGTTATGATTTGCAGTAACGCCACTTTCGCCATCATCATTGATCATTCCCAGCATTTGCTTCAAATCTTGCTTCCTTACCACAATCTTCATCCTCAAAACACCATCGCCGTCGACGTGAGAAACGCCGCCGCCTCCGCTGTTATTCTTAACCGCCCTTGCAATGGCTTCTAACAAGTAATGGTTGCTTCCCGTTAAAGCTTTCCGGCTTCTGAATTCTCTCTTGGGTGATGCCTTCCCTTCCACGATGTTTTCGCTACGGTGATGCGCGGTGGCTCTGCCTAGAGCCCTAACGAGCTCCGTCGGAGAAAATCTACGAAGTTTCATCGTGTAGATGGAGTCTACTCGTTTTCAATGGAATGTTATTAACATTTCAATGCTTATAACCTTTATATAGTATCCGCCATGGAAGCTATACATGTATGAATGCAAGGTTGGCAAAACGTATAATAGCTTAGGAGAATCTAATGGAATGGCAGACGAAAGTCAAAATGAGCCAATAATGTTTCATGCATTGAGCCTTACCTAACTTGTCAAGCGTACTCGTTTTGCTACACAGTTGAAACAAGGGCAAACGGAAGTTTTCTTTTTCTTTTTTGAAGGTCTAATGGTTGAGCTGTTTTTAGCTGTGTCCGTGCATTATCAATCTTTCTTATCTTAGCCAACTCCATTTCTTTTTTATATATAATGGAATGAGATGATGATTACTAAAAGAAATTCCAAATTCTATAACTATTTTAAAAGTTAGAAATTTTCAAGTAACGTCTGCTCTTATCGACCCCATTAATCCATCTCTACCTATTATTACATAAGACTCCATGTTACAGTGTTTGAAGCCGAACTTTGGGACATCCTCGAAGGTCTCCAAATCGCATGGCAACATGGTTATGAGAAAATCATTGTTCAAACGGATAGTAGTGAGGCTTTCCACTTGTTTTCCCCACCGTTGGCGGACAGTCCATTCGCATTGGTGAGATCCATTGCACTCCTCATGGATCGGCCTTGGTTTATCGAATTCAAGAAAATCTTTCTTGAAGCAAATAATGCGGCATACTAAGTTGAAGCAGCTTGCCATTCGTGATGGTTCTGTGTTTATTTTTTATTCTTTTCCGATCCCTCTACTTGACATTCTCCATCGAGATATTCATGGTCCCCCTTACTCTCGTTTGAGAAGCTAGTGTTAAGGCGTTTAGCCTGTTTCTACTATTAAAAAAAGTTATATAAAAAAATAGGGTTAAGTGCTTTTGGTTCCTTACACATCCGGTTCAGGTTGCTCAATCATTAACTTATATTAACCCAGTCACGGAATTATGAGTTGACAATTAAAAACAAAAAAAACTCACGTGGGTAAGTTGAAATGTGGGTGTCTGCTTCTTCTTCTTCAAAATATTGGTGTCCATGGCATAATATTTTACTAATATAATAAATACATTATACAACATTCTCAATTAACTTTTACCTCGTTTCCTAGCCCTTCCACTACCTCCCAATCTCACCACCTCATTATCCACGTTTTTCCGCTCTCCCCCCTCTTCCTCCGGAGCTCCTCGTAAGTCGTAACCCTCTCCATCACCCTTCCCTTCTCTTTACTCTCTTCCTCTGAATCACCACCATCACCATCGTCATCTCAACCGCCGTCATCCTCATTGTCGTTGTCATCCTCTTTCTCCAACACTTCGCTCGGTGAATTCTGTTTCATTCTTGTCAAGAAACTTGCCGCTCTTTGTTTCTTTCTCGCCTTGTTAGTTTCTTTCTTGGTATCCATCTTCAGCTCCACGGCGTCATGCGAGCTAAGCTCGTTACCACCATACTCGTGATTCGACTCCCCACTCTTGTTGCTTGTTCTCTGTGAGTTCCGATGACCTGAAACCGCTCTCTCTCTACTTCTTTTCTTCCTCACGGCGATGTCGGCAAAAGAGCTACCGTCATCCTTCTTCTCAGAGTAGACAACTTTAGCAAGCCAGGATTGAATTCTTTGGAGATCCATGTGTTGCCTTATCAGGTTTTTGTATCTTCCAGACTCCTGCCATGGAAAATGCTGATGCAGCTCTTATCACAGAGGTTGGCGAAACTGAAATGGTCTTGTGTGCATATATAGAGAGAGGGAGCTTACACGTGAAATGGTCATGTGTGTGGTTTAATGTGAAGAAGAAGAAGAAGAAGAAGAGAGGGTGGTGGCGGATGGCTGTCGGCAACGTCTAACGCCGACGGTGAGAGGCGAACGACCACCAGGATTTTAGAGCTTCTCTTGAGACCAATGGAGCAAGATTTACTTGAGAGAGAGTGAAAGAAGAAAAAGATGATGAAGAAGAAGGAAAAAGAAACATAAGAAGAAAAGAAGAAGATGAAGAAGAGTTGACGTGGGACGTGGATATTTTAAAAATATTTTAATTGCCACGTAATACTTCTTCTGATCAAAAATAAGAAGAAAAAGACTTCGACTAATTACGAATTATACAGTTATGCAGCATTGTTTCGAAACAAGTCGGTGCCACGGAGCAGGGGAAAGCTCAAGGATGCATCTCAGGAGTGAGTTCATTGGCCAACATCGTTGCTCCTCTGATCTTTAGTCCTCTCACAGGTTTGTAAAGTTTGGTGTTTTCTACCCTTTCCCCCCGAATAAATTACTCTCTTTTTCAACTGTTGAAGGTTAAATAAACACCGACTTGTTCTGTTATACGGCATTATTCCTATCTGAAGAGGCACCATTTCATTTCCCTGGCTTTAGTATCTTCTGCATTGCTATCACAATAGTATGAACTTTTTACTTGGGATAAAAGCAACCATCTATCTTTTTTTACAGTTTCCGATCCGGTCTTGTGCAACTAAACCGATTCTTTCCGGCTTTTATTTAACAGACGATCGCCTTCATTGCGAGCTTGAATATAGGGAATGCTCCTTCAGATTCAAGTGAAAACAGCGGCGACTGCACGGAGGTTTAGACAGTAGTGTGTGAAAAATGATGTATGCATCATGTATAGTAAAACTATAGAAGGTCCCCTCTTGACCTTGATTATCAATGGATGATTTCATGAACGTAAAGACAGAAGAAAAGCTACAGAAAGATATTATATGCACTAAAACTTGAGCATGTCGAACCTACATTTGAGAGAATGTTGTTTACTATATGGCAGCCTTACTTCTTCGATTATTAATAGTTACAAAATGATCATTTAACTATAAAATATTATTTTGTTAAATTTTTTTACTATCAAAAATTATAAAATGATCACACGACTATTCATACGTTCTAGACTCTATCATTTTTCATTAAAAAACTGACAGTAATCTGAGCTGAAAATTAATATATTTGACTGAGATATGATAAAGTTTGATCTCAGAATTTCAAACGATATTTATATCTCCGTCAGTGTGTTAGCTTACAGCTCATTCGGTCGTTAAATTTTTAACCAAAAAGAATGAGTTTGGAATATATGAATGGTCGAGTGATCATTTTGTAACTTTCAATCATCGAAGGATTCAACAAAACAACATACTATAATCGAAAAAATATTTTATAATTTTTCATAGTCGAGGGCTTAACAAAAATCACCTTATAGTTGGGACCAATTATATACTTTACCCTTTTAAAAATAAAAAATAAAAACACTTTGGAGTCTAGTGTTTTCAATGGTCGGATTTTGCTACAAAGAAGGAAGCTTTCAACGACAAGGAACCCGAGAGGATCAGATGATAGTAGGAAGATTAACGTTAAGTATTCCCCCGCCATGGAACCACCACCGCCTCCGGCCAACTCCACCGTTAATCAAATGTGAGAGCGGGGGAGTGCCACTAACAAAGCAAGGTCACCGCTTCCTCTCTTCATTAGCATCCACGGCCGCCGTCGACGACCCAACAACCGCTAACCGGTTGATAAAGAAATTCGTCGCATCATCGCCAAAGTCTATTGCTTTGAACGCGCTCTCTCATCTTCTCTCTCCCAGCAATTCTCACCCTCACCTCTCCGACCTCGCGTTTCCCGTAAGTTCCCTTGCTTTGAACACTCCTCCAAGACAGCAAAAACCACTTATTTTTCCCTCAATTTTGACATGGGGTCGTGTTTTTTTAACAGTTGTATACTAGGATAACTGAAACAACATGGTACAACTGGAACCCAAAATTACTTGCAGAGTTAATTCCTTTGCTGGATATACAAGGTAAGCACGATGAATCCGAGGCTTTAATCTCTCAAGCTGTTTCGAAGTTAAAGTCTCGAGAGCGAGATCTTGTTCAATTCTATTGCAATTTGATTGAGTCTTGTTCTAAACATGAATCAGAGCAAGGGTTTAATGAAGCTTACTGTTACTTGTCTGAACTTGTTCGTAATTCTTCATCGGTGTATGTCAAACGTCAAGGTTATAAATCAATGGTTAGTAGCTTATGTGAAATGGGTCAGCCTAATGAGGCTGAGAATGTGGTTGAAGATATGAGAAAAAATGGGGTTAAACCTTCATTGTTCGAGTTTAGGTTTGTTTTGTATGGGTATGGGAAAATGGGATGTTTTGAAGATATGGAGAGAATGGTGAACAAGATGGAGATGGAAGGGTTTGAAGTGGATACTATTTGCTCGAATATGGTTCTTTCGTCGTACGGGGCTTTTACGAAACTTCCCAAGATAGTTCATTGGCTGCAAAAAATGAAGGCTTTGGGAATTCCTTTCTCAGTAAGGACTTACAATTCTGTCTTGAATTCATGTCCTATGATCATGTCTTTGGTTCGAGGCTCGGGTAGTTTTCCGGTTTTGCTTGCGGAGCTGATTGAGGTTTTGGATGAGGATGAAGCGTTGTTGGTAAAGGAATTGGTTGCATCTTCTTCAGTATTGAATGAGGTAATGGAATGGACTGATTTGGAGCTAAAACTTGACTTACATGGTATGCATCTTGGTTCGGCTTATGTGATAATGTTGCTGTGGATCGAGGAGATGAAACGCAGGTTTAAAGTCAAAGAATGCGTGATTCCAGCACAAATTACTATCGTTTGTGGATCTGGAAAGCACAGCAGTGTTAGGGGAGAATCACCTGTGAAAAATTTGATCAAAGCGATGATGATTCGAATGAAGAGTCCAATGAAAATTGATAGGAAGAACATTGGTTGTTTTATAGCCAAAGGACAAGTTGTGAAGAATTGGTTATCGCAGCTGATGGAGGAGAATCATTAATTTAAGGTCGGATGGGAACAGGTTTCAGTTAATATTTGATGAAATTAAGATCTGTAAGTTCCTCAGATTGAATCAATAACATCTGCCATTTTCTTCTTTTGTTTGATCTTTGTTGATACTAGTTTGAGTTAGTTTGTGTTGCTCTTGGGTTTTCATATCAGATAACACGAATTTCTGCCCTGGTTAGTCTGTCCAACTCATTGTAGTATCTAAATCGGTCCTCGGGTCAGTCTCTAGTTACTCACCATTGGAAGAAATATGCAAGAAAAATACAATACTAGATTTAGCCATTCGTAGAACCTTGTCTTACATAGGGTTATGAATCTTTGATATCAGTCTCTCTCAGGAGCATTTTCGAAACTCTTTTTGCGCTGTCACCTGTATATGACCACACCTTCTCAAACTCGGCTGCATATGGTGTTTCGTGTTTCCAGTCAGGTTCTTCCTCAAAACCATTTCTCTTCAAAGACGAAGCTGCCCTTCCTGGACTTCCGGTAAGTGGAGTTGAAGAGCAAAAAGTTGCTGTCGCAAAAGGAGAGGCATAAGGGGTGTGCTGAACTGAGAAAGGGCTGGGAGACATTCGCCTCTGGATCGGACGACTTCTCAAGCCGCTCCTGCTGAAAAGGGAATTCAATTCTGCTGCAGCACAGTGCTTGACAGCATCATGAACATATAGACATCATCTATCCTCGCCATAATGTTGAAGGCCAAACTCTCCATCACCCCTGAGTAGCTTTCTAGAATTGACTGCCCAACGTCCTGCAATTAAAACGAGGTCGATTCAAACCACGAAACTAGCAACGGTGGTAAAAGAGACAAGGAAGCAACATAAGTTGATCCTATCCTTCCCAAGTCATTTTCTAAAATATTAACTGAACCAAACTTTATTCAACTTATGTAAATCATTTTCTATAAAATTAATTATAGTATACCAAACAATTAGTGAAAAAGATTTACATAATATCATCAAAACACCGTAAAATAGTTTTCATAAAATGTAATTTATTTAAGTAAAACAGTTTTACGCAAAACAATTTTTATGTAACTTATTTTACATAAAACAGTTTTCACGTAATCCATTTTTTATAAATTATCTTTCAAAAAATCAATTACAGTCTATCAAATAGACCCTTATTAATATTATTGCAATGAAACGAGACAATTATGATACATTAACCCATGAAGTCCCAATAACGTAATGCACAAATTGGGTCCAACTGATACGAGGAGAAGCTTAAACATTAGGCCCTTTTTTTTCACTCCTTACATCGCAGGTAAATTAACTGGTTCAATAAACCAGTTAAGAATTTATTTTGTAACATACGACAAATATTACACTAAAACATAAATTCATCGCATCGAGATAATAAGTTCGGTAAGAAAATATTTTTTAATGGTCCTAGGTTTATAGGCCCCACATAGGTTAATATTATAATATATTTCCCAAGACTCATTACGTTGAGGTAACAAGTATTGTTTAAAGTTGATTTTTTTAAAATTTCATTAATTATTTTAAAAAATAAAAAAATTAGGTAACTCGTCACCTTGACGTGATGAATTTATGTTAAATTTAAAAAACTAGCCGTTTATAACCATTGTGCAACAATCAGATATTGACGGTCATGGCAAAATTCGTCATATAGAGGTGACAAGTTCGGTGGGATTTTTGAAAAATATAATCGTTTATAGCCGTTGGATTTGGGGTTTATGATTTTTATTGTGTATTGTTCAGTAAAAGACTGAGAAAAATTCATAGTTTTTGAAGAATTTCCGAAAAATGTTTACCTGAGATAAAATGTTACGCCTTGATGATTTTCAAAAAAATTTCTGTATAACTCGGTCCGGAAGAAGAACGAAACATTCATAAGTTCGTGCTTCACTGTAGTATTTGCCGTATATTACAAAATAAATTATTGATCGGCCTATTGGGCCAATTAATTTACCCATTTGGGGTAAGTGAAAAAAACCTAAGCATTACGATAAGTCGACAACATATTTTTAAGCCCAAACATTCATTGGCATTGACGTTCCTTTGTCCAATGAAGCCAGAGTTAAAATTTGCACTTAATTTAATGTATTTAGAAAACTAAAAACTAATTAAACTATTTTTAAAGAAATGCGGGCCTCATTAAAAACTCCTACTAATGTAAGGTTAGGGTCCTATAAGAAGAAAAGAGTGCCCAAAATTCATTAATCAATCCAGTAACAAATCGTTCTTTACAACATTTGCAATGAACTCAGCCTCAAAGAAAAAGAAAGCATTACAATCGAGGGCTCGTTTAGCTTACGTATGAACAACCTTATTTGCTTCCCTACAAACATATGTTACCGAACAACTATTAAACCATTACAATTGTCCCGTATAGGTTGTAAATGGACAACAATCGTAAAATTTGCACCACTAGCATTATTGTACAAATTGACTGCCATGGTGGAATCCATCTCAATAATGACGTCCCGCCAACCCCCAACCAAAGCTATATTAACAGCTGCAACAAGATTATGAAGCTCAGCTAAACCTGGCTCATAAATACCGCCAGACGTAGTAGCTAGGCCACTAAGAACGGAACCATATACATCATGGGCAACAACGTCCACGACTGCAGTCTTAGTTAACGGATTGTAAGCACTATCTGCATTTATCTTTATAGTTTGACCAGACGAGAACCTCCAATGGTTCAGAGTAGAAGCCCGTGACACATTGGAGAAAGGTACCTGTCGGGCACTGAGGAAATCAGAATGCAGGACCTCTGCATTGGCCGCAATGACCCAAGCAGACTAAAAACATCCATTATGCACCAAGGAATTCCTTCCATTCCAAATATTCCATAATAGAATAAGAAAGCCTGCAAACTCTTCAAGTCCAAGCGTAGCAAGAGCTAATTCCAACCATAATAAAGAAGAAGAAGAAGAAATGGAGGTAAGGAACTTATAAGATAGACATGCAACCCTGAAAACTTCCTTCGCAAATGAACAATCCCAAAACATATGGATTATGGTCTCAATATCTATCTCACAGAAATAACAAACCCCATCGCCTAGTCCAGTCACTTACACTTTACTTCCGATCAGGAAAGTCTCTCGCACCAACCTCCAAGCAAAGATGCGCACCTTGGGAAGAACTCTTAAACAATAAAATATAGAAAGATGGACATTAAACAATTATTATTAAAGATATAAATAATAATTATATTATTATTTTGTGTTAGAAAGTTTTTTCCTTATAGTCAATCTTATTAATTATATATTTTATTTTAATTCTTTTCAATAATACTGGGAAAGAGAATTTTATTTTTAATAAGTGTTAAACTCACAATCTAAAAAATACATAAGTTGTCAACTGAAAATTTTTAATTATCTACTCTAAATATTATTGACAAAAATCAATTAAATAAAAATTTTAAATAAAAATTTTAATCTATGAAATCAGATTTAATAAAATTAAAATCCACCAAATTCGAATAAAACTTTTGTGTCTCTCACTTTCTTCTCTTAAATATATATAATTTTAGCCTGAAAAAGCAAATAAAAAAGAAAAAATACGTGGTTGTTTGACAAAGGCTTATCTCTTTCCACTCGCATCTTTGCAGCTGACATGTTTAGAGCAACGTATTAAAACGGCCACTTCAAAAAAACCGAAAGGAACAGAGGATTTTATCACAGGCACACAGAGCTATGGCATCCCTGAACCTCGTTCATGGACGCCAATCTCTCCTTCATTCTCCCGACTCCACCATGTTATTTCGAAGACCACCTTCCCATCCCCTCTCTAATTACAGTTTCTCCACTTCATCTGGTAAAAAAAGTTTCCTTCTTTGTCCTTTCTCACTGATCTTCATTATACATACATGTTTATTGATAAAGTACACTCTTTGAACTATGTTTTACTTCTCTAGAAAAGACCCAAGTGATTGATATAGTTAATTGTTGCCTTAACTTCTTTAATTTGTAATTTTATCTTTTACATTCTTGTTCTCTTTATAGTTCGTGATAGGAAAACAAAATACCAAGTTTGAGTTTTTTTAAATGCAAATTGTTAAAATTTAAGCTTTAGTTTTAGTTATCAGATGCAAACTATTGTTATTTGAATGGTGGAATTGTATTCTATTTAGTTCAACTTAGCTTTAAGTTTTTTAGCTCACAAGGTGTTTGTTCTTGGGTCCTTGATTTCGCTTGGGAAGCAGGGAGATAACACTTTCAAGATGGGGAAAGATCGGTTCATTCTATGGATTCTCAGATTTTTCTTCTTCTGGAATTTAAGTTTTTTGAGCACTTTCGATCATATGAATTTTCTGTTTTAATGCTCTTTGATTCTGTCTTATTATCATGTTTCAGTTGATTTTGGGTCGTCATTGTCTCTTCTTCCTCTAAATAAGCACAACTGGAGTCATTATTTTTGAGTATTTATGTAGTCTTAGCAATTATATTTGTTTAGTTTCTTGAAATCTACATTTGCATAATTAATTTTAATCTTCCACTGATTTTCTTTTTTCCTAGTGAGGCAGAATATCTTTTAGGGTTATGCATTAATTCCTAGATATTTTGTGTTCGAGTAAATGCAGGCTTTCATACAAGAACCTTAGCCCGTTTCTCTCCTGGCATCTTGGTGTGTAGAATTAGTTCTTCGAGAGGAGCTCGGAGCAATAGATCAAGAATTAGATCAGGTTGCTTTAGTTAATTGTTTATACTTTTAGTCATGCTTTAGCTTTCTTTACTAGTGGATAAGTTCATTACCATATGATATTTCAGCATCGGTACAGCGCGTAACTGAGGAATTGACGGATGATGAATCAAAGGATTCTCTTATTAGTGGAGATTCTATTCGTCAGCGGTTTCTTGATTTTTATGCTTCTCGTGGTCACAAGATTATTCCCAGTGCTTCTCTTGTGCCAGATGACCCAACAGTTCTTCTGACAATTGCAGGAATGCTTCCCTTCAAGCCAATATTCCTTGGGAAGGTAATGAATAAGATCTTCGTAAATCCATTATTAGACTTGCTAATATTTCTCTTCAAACAGGAGAAAACTTTAAATTGACGTTATTTTGATTGTTTGACCTTGATGTGACGAAACTAGCTCTTTATATTTAGATTCCCAGACAAGTACCTCGTGCTACTACTGCACAAAGGTGTATACGCACAAACGACGTGGAGAATGTCGGCAGAACAGCAAGACATCATACATTTTTTGAAATGCTTGGGAATTTCTCATTCGGAGATTACTTTAAGAAGGAAGCAATCCAATGGTCATGGGAGCTTTCCACCAAGGAGTAAGCATGGATATAGTATTGCCTTTTGGATGCCAAATTTAAGATTGATCGATCTATTCATTGTTTTTCTCAAGAATGGTCGTTCCTTATCACACATTCTGTTTCTTCCATATGAAGATGAAAGTTGTTTGTGCTTACAGATTTGGGTTGCTACCTGAAAGATTATGGATAAGTGTGTATGAGGATGATGACGAAGCTTTTGAAATATGGCACAACAAGGTAATCCAGGATGTACTTAGACACTTTCTAGAGTTTTTCTTTTATGAATGTTCCCCTTGTACATGTATCAATGCATCTCTTCCATCGTGCCTGGTGTTCTAGAAGCTACAACTTTAATTTTGGATGGATTGGACAATGATATTTTACATGTCATGTTTAGTGGTTTTGATATAATTTTTCATCAGGTTGGTGTTCCCTTTGAACGTATAAAAAGAATGGGTGAAGACGACAACTTTTGGATGAGTGGTGCTACTGGTCCCTGTGGTCCATGCTCTGAAATTTATTATGATTTTCATCCTGAGAGGGGAACTGCTGATGTGGTTGGTACTTACTCCAGACAATTCTTTTTATTTCTTTCATTTAGGAAGGTGATTATTAAGGTTCTGTCAGCCATTGGTAAGGTTACTCGTAGGTTTCTCATTCCGGTTCTTTTCTTTCCCTTAACCTGGGTGAGTAATCTGCAGGATCTCGGGGATGATACGAGATTTATAGAGTTCTACAATCTTGTATTCATGGAATACAATAAAAAGGATGATGGAACACTCGAGCCCTTAAAGCAAAAGAACATAGATACTGGTCTTGGCTTGGAGCGCTTGGCTCGTATTCTTCAGAAGGTATTTATGATATCTTTTTTTTCTTCTCATGTCCAACTAAAATCGTATTTCACCGAAGTATGTTAGCATCACTTGTGAGGTTATATGCTTTGAAAATTAAAATAAACTTTTTTCTCTCCTTTTTTTTGCAGGTCCCAAACAACTATGAGACCGATTTGATTTATCCAATTATAGAAAAGGCATCGACAATGGCTAATATCTCGTATCCCTCGGCAGATGAGCAAACAAAGTTGAAATTAAAGGTAAAGTTTCGGTTTGCTTGTAACAACCTTTGTTAGATTTAAGATATTGTTGCAAAAAAAGTTTCTAACTTTGTTTATAATTATATCTCAGTTTTTAAAATTTTCTGTTGCTTATAGATTGTTGGAGATCATCTACGGGCTATAGTATATCTCATATCGGATGGTGTTTTGCCATCAAATATTGGTAGAGGTTATGTGGTTCGACGGCTTATCAGAAGGGTTGTTCGAGCTGGCAGGTCCCTCGGAATAAAGGGCGTTGAAGGAGCATTTTTACCTATAATTGCCGAAAAAGTAATAGAATTAAGCAACCATATTGATTCAGATGTCAAGATTAGAGCATCCCGTATTCTTGAGGAGCTGAAGAAGGAAGAGCTTAATTTTGTGCAAACTCTAGAGAGAGGAGAAACTTTACTTGAAAAGATGTTAGTGGATGCATTATCAAATGCCAAGAAAAGTGGGACTGTGCCTTGCTTATCTGGAAAAGATGCATTTCTTTTGTACGATACTTTCGGATTTCCAGTGGAGTTAACCACAGAAATCGCTGAAGAACAAGGTGTTACTGTAGATATGAATGGTTTTGATATAGAGATGGAAAACCAAAGGCGCCTATCTCGGGCTGCACATAATGTTGTTAAACTTGCAGTCGAAGATGGTGCTAATCTTACTGATACTATAAACGAAACCGAATTTGTAGGATATGACACCCTTTCCACTCAAGCAGTAGTAGAAAGCCTCACGGTGAATGGGAGTCCAGTGATACAGGTTTCCGAAGGAAATGATGTAGAGGTCTTGTTGAATAGAACACCATTTTATGCGGAATCCGGTGGTCAAATTGGAGACAATGGCTTTCTATATGTTACCGGAAGTGAAAAGCAACAGACAGCTGTTGTGGAGATTAAGGATGTCCAAAAATCCCTAGGTGACATATTTGTTCATAAGGGGACTATCAAAGAAGGAATTCTGGAAGTTGGCAGAGATGTGCAAGCTGCCGTGGATGCAAAACTACGGCAGCGGGCAAAGGTACCGGCTTCTAATTGTGGGCTAGACCTTTCTTTTGAAAAAAATAAAAATATAGAGAATTAAACAAATTTCCCTATGACTATGTGACTCAATGTCACAAGGACAGTTGGTCATATCATCTTTTACATAAACTATCCGAAGTTTTTTTTCTTCTTTCAGGTCCATCATACTGCTACTCATTTGCTACAATCAGCACTTAAGAAATTAATTAGCCCGGAAATATCACAAGCTGGTTCCTTAGTGGCTTTTGATCGTCTCAGGTTTGATTTCAACTATGGCCATGCCCTTACTGACACTCAGCTTGAAGAGATTGAACGACTGATCAATGATTGGATTGAGGCTTCAACATTTCTTAAAACAAAAGTTATGCCTCTTAGGGATGCAAAAGAAGCTGGTGCCATTGCAATGTTCGGGGAAAAATATGGTGAGCAGGTATGTGTTCCTTCTTCATAATACCAGGCAGTTTCTTCATGCATCATTTAGCTCGTCTTTGAATAATTTTTGGTTCATCCTTTGAGAAGATGGCACGCAACTACACCCTAGCCATTTCTTTAGTACCTTGAAATGTCCCACATAGAACTTGAATGTTTGCAGGCTTTGTACTTGCTAATAGAAACAATTTTTCCTAATTTTATAATACATCGTAGGTAAGAGTTGTGGAAGTTCCTGGTGTATCGATGGAGCTTTGTGGTGGAACCCACGTCAGCAATACATCCGAAATACGTGTCTTCAAAATAATCTCCGAGCAAGGGATTGCATCTGGGGTCAGGCGTATAGAAGCTGTTGCCGGCGAAGCATTTATCGAATATATCAATGTCAGGGAATCACAAATGAAGAACCTATGCTCGATGCTCAAGGTGAGTTGTGGTTATAACTCGAAACCTTCTCCCAACATGCTTCATTGTGAAAGATTAATGCACATCCGGAAACACGATAACTATTCCATCCTTGAAACATTTTTCTTTAACCACCGTTAGTGATTTTGATGTTATTTAGCATTGTTTTCAGGTGAAAGCTGAAGAAGTGACTACCAGAGTAGAAAAACTCTTAGAGGAGTTACGAACGTCGAGAAATGAAGTTGCTGATCTGCGTACAAAAGCAGCAGTATTTAAAGCTTTAATGATTGCAAACAAAGCATTTGAAGTAGGAACTTCACAAAAGATCAGGTAAATTGTACTTATGCAACTCTAGTAATAATGTTGAGAAATCTCGAAACCCGAGGGGTAAAGTGTTGTTACTACTTATTCTCGGCCTTTTCTTTCGAACATTCCATTCCAGGGTGATGGTGGAGTCCTTGGATGATGTGGATGCTGATTCACTAAAAGTTGCGGCCGAGCATTTAATCGGCACACTGCAAGATCCTGCAGCTGTTATATTGGGCTCTTGTCCAGGTGAAGGGAAAGTAAGTTTAGTTGCTGCTTTCACTCCAGCAGTGGTTGATCTGGGTATACAGGCAGGGAAGTTCATAGGCCCCATAGCTAAACTGTGCGGCGGAGGAGGCGGTGGCAAGCCGAATTTTGCTCAAGCGGGTGGGAGGAAGCCTGAGAATCTTCCGAGAGCCCTTGAAAAGGCCCGGGAAGATATCATCTCAATTCTATCTGAAAAAGAAAGCTGAAGTATAACTTTTATGTGAGCAATGAGTAGGAAGGAATATTGTACATGTAAATTTACATTATTTTTAAAGATGAATAGTGTAGATACTTGATTTGGCTATTCACTTTTTAACCATGTAATAATAATACATCATAAATGCAGAAGTGGAAGTAACTCAGAATATAACAGGATTCCATTTTAATATCCATAAAACTAGTTTAGTGTATGATAATATAACTACTGTTCTTAAACTCTGTAAATATTAGGAACCAGGGACACTCGTTGCTTTGTGACCTTAAAAGATACGAGGGATAAAAAGCATCATGTTTTGGAGCAGCTGGATAATGCATATATGGGATGTCCACGTCAAAATTCGTTGACCAAAGCTTGATTAATTTGATCTTATCAAAACAAATGACTCTTCAAACTGCCAAAACACTCACTTTCAACAATCCCACTGTCAGAAAGCAAAGCTTTTCCTATTGAAATGGTTTAAATACGTCAGATATGTCTATCCATATATAAACCTAATTAAAACTACACAAGTCTTGAGGTTCTTACTTATTCAACTAGAGGCACGGATCTGCCCTTACCATGTAAGCCTAGCAGCATGTTTTCAAATCCCATGGCTTTCTGGAAATGCTTACCTGTTGTCCATACTAATCTTCATGTATAAATAAACCCATAACTCACTCACATTTGGCAACTTAAACAAGTAAGAAATGGCCCACTTCGTTTGGTTGCTGTTCCTTTTCCTTTCTTCTGCTACTGCTTGTGATCAATGCGTTCACCAATCCAAGGCTTCTTTCGTCACTTCAGTCTCTGCAATTACATGTAATTAACTGCCAAAGTTCCATCTTCGTCATAGTTTTTGCGTAAGATTTAGTGGATTGATGACATTTGTTTTCTGCGTTTGAAATTTGCAGCCGGAGCTTGTGGATACGGTTCCTCCGCAATAAGCCTCAGTGGTGAAAACCTTGCAGCTGGTGTTTCTTCCCTTTACAAGGGAGGAGCTGGTTGTGGTGCTGGCTTTCGGGTCATTTGTATTACCACATTTTGAAAACATTTCTTATTGTTTCTTGATTGTTAACCAACATGGTTTTTGCAGATAAGATGTAAGGATCCAAAACTCTGCGGCAATAAAGGGGCTAACGTGGTACTAATCGATCACAACTACGATAACCAAACCGACTTTGTTCTTGGTTTCTTCGCTTTACTAGACATGGCTAATGACGGCCTGGCCCGAGACATTTACAAACAAGGGATCGTGGACGTGGAATATAAAAGGAAACCCTGTGTATTTGAAAACCAGAACTTGTATGTTAGGGTTGAAGAATCAAGCCAAATACCATATTACTTGCAAATTAAATTGCTTTATCAAGGCGGTCAGACTGAGATTGTAGCCATTGATGTAGCTGAGGTTAGCCTAAATGCTTACTTGCTTATATAACTCTTGTTTTCATTAGTCTTTCGTATGTTTTTGTTATGTTAATTCTGATTTGCAGGTTGGTCTTACTACTGGAACTCCATGAGTAGGAACTATGGGGCAGTTTGGGACACAAACAGAGTCCCAAATGGTGCATTGCAGCTCAGATTTGTGGTGACATCTGGGTATGATGGGAAGTGGATTTGGGCGAAGAGTGTGCTCCCAGCTTGTTAGGAAATAAACCGAGTACAAGTAATTTTCCTATATCAGATTAGTGAGCATGCGAAATAAAAGCGGAAAAATAATACCCGAAATCGATAACGGAGTTCAGCCAATTTGCTTACGTCTCCGGACTACTGCAGATCTTTTACTAAGAGAGAAAATTTACAGGTGTTTACAAAACACTCACTACTCACAATAAAGCTCTCTAGTATTAGGAGAAAGAAATGATTTTTGGGATGATTTTGAAGCTAAATGAGCTAGGGTATTTATAGTTGAAACTTAGGGACTAATCTTTGAAAATACCCTAAAGTTCAATGACTCAATTTTATAATTATACCTATTACAAAATAATAAAAAATTTAGCCTCCCCAAATATTCAAGCAGCCGGCTGCTAGCATCCATTTTCAACAATGTCGGCTGCCACTTGAATATTCAACAATCTCCCACTTGAAGACTGATTTTAATTTGTCTTCACAACACGATCGATGCAGCAGTATTTCTGGTCTTGTTATTCTAGCATGTCAACTGAAGCTGAACACAACTTCAGTTTGTCCGTAGTCACCGCCTTTGTCAACATGTCTGCAAGATTTTGAGCTCCACTAATCTTTTCAAGTTTCAAAATCCCATCTTCCAGAAGAGACCGGATAAAATGATATCGCAATTGTATGTGCTTTGTCCTGGAATGAAAAGACGGATTCTTTGCTAGATGGATAGCACTTTGACTGTCGCAATACAAGACATTGTTTTCTTGTTTCTGGCCTAACTCTTCCAAGAAACTTTGGAGCCAAACCATCTCCTTGATGGCTTCCGTAACAGCGACATATTCTGCTTCAGTTGTGGAGAGAGCAACTATCTTCTGTAGTTGAGAAACCTAACTCACTGCAGTACCTCCTAGAGTATATACATACCCTGTAGTACTCCTTCTGATGTCAACATTTCCGGCTAAGTCAGCATCTACATAGACTGTCAGTATCGTATCTCCACCTTTGAGACAAAGTGCTTTGTTTGTGGTACCCCGTAGATATCTGAGGATCCATTTGACTGCTTCCCAGTGTACCTTGCCCGGATTATTCATGTACCTGCTAACAACTCCCACTACATGAGCAATATCTGGTCTGGTACAAACCATGTAATACATCAGACTTCCAATTGCTGAGGCATACGACACCTTTACCATGTGTGCACGTTCTTCCTCCGTCTTTGGTGATTGTTCTTTGGAGAGTCTAAAATGAACACCTAAAGGTGTACTTACTGGTTTAGCATCTTGCATGTTGAACCTGGAGAGTACTTTGTTGATGTACTCAGCCTGTGATAACATTAAAGTCCCCGACTTTGTGTCTCTCTTGATCCTCATCCCAAGAATCTGCTTTGCAGCACCCAGATCTTTCATAGCAAACTGTTTCGACAATTTTTGCTTCAAGTGTATAATCTCTTGCATGTTTGAGCCTGCAACGAGCATGTCATCAACGTATGGCAATAAAATAATGAAGCTATTGTCGAACCTCTTGATGTAGCAGCAATGATCTGCTTGGCATCTGGTAAAACCACTGCTACCCATGAAACTATCGAACTTCTTGTACCACTGTCTAGGAGCTTGTTTTAAACCATACAAGCTCTTCTTCAACTTGCATACCAGGTTTTTCTTGTCTGCCTCTATGAAGCCTTCTGGCTGCCTCATATAGATTTCTTCCTCCAAATCACCATGAAGGAAAGCTGTCTTTACATCTAACTGCTCAAGATGTAAATTCTCTGCATCTACAATTTTCAACACCAATCTGATTGTAGACAATTTTAAGACTGGAGAGAAAATTTCATTGTAGTAAATACCTTCTTTTTGCTGAAAGCCTCTGACAACCAATCTTACTTTGTAGCGTTTGCTCCCATCGTGCTCTTCTTTGATCCTGTAAATCCACTTGTTATGAAGCGCTTTCTTGTCTGGTGGTAATTCAGCTAATTCCCACGTCTGATTTGACATAAGCGAGTCCATCTCATCTTTCATGGAAGACTCCCACTTGACTGAATCCTCCACCTACATGGCTTCATCATAGCACTCTGGTTCACCATTGTCAGTCAACAACAAGTAGTGCAAAGAAGGCGAATACCGTTGGGTTGGTTTAGGAATTCTAGAGGAGCGTCTCAGTTCTGGTGTGCTTGGTTCTTCCTCTTGAACTGCTTCAGGACTGATCTGAACATCATTTCCAGAAATCTCCTCGAACTCAGCAAATTCCTTTGTTTCAGCTTCGGTATTACTTGATTTTGCGGTTGACATGTCTTTGTACATCACATTTTCATTGAAAATGACGTCTCTGCTTCTGATGATCTTTCGATTTTCGTAGTCCCAAAACCGGTAACCGAACTCATCACCACCGTAACCAACAAAGACGCATTTGTTGGACTTGGCATCAAGTTTACTTCTTTCAGCAGAGTTTATGTGTACATAAGAAATACAACCAAACACTCTTAAGTGTGAAAGATTTATTTCTTTCTTGCTCCAAGCTTCTTCTGGTATTCCGCCATCCAAAGGAACTGAGGGCCCATGGTTGATCAGGTAAGCTGCAGTGTTGATAGCTTCAGCCCATAGAAATTTGGGCAATCCGGCATGTATCCTTATGCTTCTGGCACGTTCATTCAGAGTTCTGTTCATGCGCTCTGCTACGCCATTATGCTGCGGTGTTATGGGAACAGTTGTCTCCATCTTGATCTCATTGTTTGCGCAGAAATCTCTGAATCTATTGTCTCTGTACTCTCCTCCATTGTCAGACCTCAACCGCTTGACTTTCAAACCAGACTCATTTTTCACCATGGCCTTCCATTTTCTGAAGGTATCAAAGACTTCTGATTTCTTCTTCAGAAAATAAACCCACACCTTTCTTGTTGAATCATCGATGAAGGTGACATAATATAGTGAGCCTGCAAGAGATGAAACTGGGGATGGTCCCCATACATCAGTATGAACTAATTCTAACCTTTATGCCTTGGGAGTCTTGTCAATCTTTGTAAACTAACTTTATTTTGTTTGCCAAAGATGCAATCCTCGCATAGTCCGATATCTACATTCTTTAGATCCGGCAGCTTCCTTTTTGACAGAAGTATCTTCATTCCTTTCTCGCTCATATGGCCAAGCCTTTGGTGCCATAAGTTTGATTTTCCATCAACATCTGCTGTAGCAATGATATTCTCTAAGTTTGAGGTTACATAAAGAGTACCAGTCTTCTTACCACGAGCAATGACGAGTGCTCCTTTTGTAATCTTCCATTCACAGCATGAAAATGTTGTATTGTATCCTTCTCCATCAAGCTGTCCAACAGAAATCAGATTTCTTTTGAGGCCAGGAATATGTCTCACTCCTGTCAGCTTTCAGGTGGTCTGGTTTGGCAACTTTAGTCGGATGTCTCATTTTCCGACGATCTTCAAGGTTTCATCATCAGCTAGATGAACCTTCCCAAAATCACCACTGACATAGTTCTCCATGATTTCTTGGCATGGGGTGGAGTGGAAAGATGCTCCTGAATCCAAGATCCATGATTCAATCGGACTGTAGACGCTTAGAATCATGGCATCACCTGTCTCCTCTGTCACGTTGGCAGATTCCTGTACGCCGGTATTTTTTTTCAGTGCTCGGCAATCTCTTTTAAAGTGACCATTCTTGCCACAATTATAACAGGTAAAATCTTTCTTTCCCGTTCTGGATTTTCCCCGTCTGGATTTTGATCTGCCATGATTTGAATTTCTTTCTAAAGTTCTCCCTCTGGACTCCGTGTGCAAGGCTGAGGAGGTTGATGCTTCACTCGATTCTCTCTGTCGAATTTCTTCGCTCAGTACCAGATCCCGAAAATCGTCGAATTTTAATTTGCTGTTTCCCGACGAACTGCTGACTGCTGTAACAGTAGCATTCCAACTGTCTGGTAAAGATGATAAGAGAATTAAAGCTCGAACTTCATCATCGAATTCAATTTCCACTGAACTCAACTGGGTTGTGATTGTGTTGAGTTCATTTATGTGTTGTGCCACCGATGCCTCTTCCGTCATCCGCAAATTGAATAATCGCCTCATCAAGTGTACTTTGTTTGAGGCTGATGGCTTCTCATACATACTGGAGATAGCCGCCATAAGACCCGCCGTGGTCTTTTCCTTTGCTATGTTGAAAGCAACATTGCGGGATAACGTCAGTCGGATAACTCTGAGGGCTTGTCTGTCAAGAAGAGCCCAGTCTTCATTCTTTATGCCATCTGGTTGCTTTCCTAAGAGGGGTTGATATAGATTTTTCTGGTACAAAAAATCTTCAATCTGCATCTTCCAAAAGCCAAAGTCTGCACCATCGAACTTTTCAATTTTCACCTTCCCTTCGTCTGCAGCCATCGCTCTCACTCGAATCTGGCTTCGTTTGGATCGTTTCTGACAATTCTTGCGAACCACCGTGTATTAGAACACCTCCGTTGACAAATTCGTATCGCCGACAAAATTTTTACTATTTACGAAATTTACTATTCACGTGAATAGTAATAAATAGTAACCTCACAAAAAATTGACAAAATTCATAACCAAAAGCTCTGATTACCAGTTGTTAGGAAATAAACCGAGTACATGTAATTTTCCTATAACCAGATTAGTTAGCATGCGAAATAAAAGCGGAAAAATAATACCCGAAATTGATAACGGAGTTCAACCAATTTGCTTATGTCTCCGGACTGCTGCAGATCTTTTACTAAGAGAGAAAATTTACAGGTGTTTACAAAACCACTCACTACTCACAATAAAGCTCTTTAGTATTGGGAGAAAGAAATGATTTTTGGGATGATTTTGAAGCTAAATGAGTTAGGGTATTTATAATTAAAATTTAGGGACTAATCTTTGAAAATACCCTAAAATTTAATGACTCAATTTTATAATTATATCTATTATAAAATAATAAAAAATTTAACCTCCTCAAATATTCAAGCAGCCGTCTGCTAGCATCTATTTTCAACAATGCCGGCTGCCACTTGAA